ACTGGCCAATCGATTGTGATTAACTTAGTCATATAGAAGATCAATGGTGACCAGCGAAAGGAAGTACTTAGATCAAAAAAACACTGACACACCAATTTTGCCCTAATTTGAGACTTTTCAACAGTATCCACCCCCCCGCCCCCTGAATGCCCTGATACGGCCGAGAGTGGGGAGAGTCCGCTCTCCCTCTCGAAATACTCTCACACGGCCACGCGTATACAGCCTGTGACAGGGAAGTCCTACTCATTGCCTTCTCGTGGCGAGGGTGTTGTTTACGAAAATGAGAGGACGAAAAGCGAATGTCCGGCGCTCTAACCGGATTCCAAATCAATGGTGCACATGGGCTCCAGTATCCTGCGGGAACGAATGGCGTATGAACCAATCGTTGGTCACCGGCTGCCATGGGACTGCATCTCCTTACGATGCTCCACTGCCTTGTGGGTTAGACCTTTAGGTCAAAGGCTCGGGGAGTGGCCCCCTAAGATAACCACCTGCTTCGGTTTGGGCACCCGGGCAGTATCATGCCCACACATAAATTGATGAACTCTTTATGCCTATGGAAATTACCTTTCATTACAATTATTGTCATTATTATTATTATTATTATTATTATTATTATTATTATTATTATTATTATTATTATTATTATTATTATTATTATTATTATTATTATTATTATCCACATTATTCACCCTCTTTTATACTTATATAGCGGCTCGACTTTGGTGGAAATTCGACTATATCTAAACGTTCTCGAGTCACTGTCCGGTTGAAAATTGTATGTTACCACCGAATACGAGGACTGAAGCAGTTTTTCTGAAACCACGTGCACCATTCAAACTGGCTGCCTTCAACGTTCGCACATTTATGCAGGTCGGACAACAGATAGGGCTGGCTATGTCTTTGGAAAGTCTTAATATTGATGTTTGTTGTCTATCCGAGACCCGTATTCAAGACTCTGGCGAAGTACTACAAGTTCGATCTCCATCTGTCGCTTCGAAAAGCTTGTTTTACGTGCGCTTATCCGGAGACCCTGTGGCATCTTCGTCTGGTCTTGCTGGCGTTGGTGTCGCACTAAGCGCTAGAGCTGAGGCAGCACTAGTCGATTGGATCCCCATTAACAGTCGGTTATGTGCTGTTAGATTAGAAAGTTCCATCAAAGTGAGAAGAAATCGGAGTGAGAAACGATGTCTTTTCGTCATCTCCGCCTATGCCCCGACAGATTGCAGCCCGGATGCAATCAAGGATGAGTTTTACCACCAGTTATCAGTTCTTCTCCAGAAAGTGCGTTCGACAGATATTGTAGTACTAGCCGGAGACTTGAATGCTCAGGTCGGGCGTCTAGGCACAGAAGAGAGTCGTTTAGGTGGCCGATGGGGACTCGTTGGTCGCAGGTCAGATAACGGGGACCGTCTACTGCAACTGTGCACAGACCACAACCTGTTTCTGGCTAGCACTAACTTTCGGCACAGTCATCGCCGATGTGCCACCTGGCGTCCTCCCTCTGCATCTCAAGCCTGGACTCAGATTGATCACATCGCGATCAGCTACCGCTGGCGTGGTTGTGTACAAGACTGCTGCTCCTTTTGGAGTACCTATCTGGACTCTGACCATGCCTTGGTCTGCGCCAATCTTGCCTTACTTCTCAGTGGACAACGAAGTGACCACCACCAAAAGATTGATGTTAGCAAGCTGGTTGCAACTTCTGTTGCAAGTAAGTATCGAACCGAGCTAGCCTCTAGGCTAGCTACCACTCCACGGAAAAGTATAGATAAGCATTGGTTGCAATTGCATGACGCCATGAAAATGGCGGGAACAGTCAGTTGTGGGTTTGCGAAACGTCCTGCTTTTAAGCACTGGGTTTCTCCAGGTTCCTTTCAACTCATTGAAGCCCGTCGGTCTACTCCGGGTGACCGTGAGTTTGACCATAAACGAAGGATGTTACGTAAGGAAATTGGGCAAAGCTTGCGTAAGGACCGAGAAGCCTGGTGGTCGATGCGTGCTAATGAGCTGGAAGCAGCAGCTGCATCTGGTAACTACCGGAAGCTCTTCCAGCTCATCCGAGCCACTGGCAGCAAGAAGTCTGATGAGAGCGAAACGATATGCGAGAATGACGGAACGCCAATCACTAACATCCATCGACGTCTTGGACGATGGGCAGAATTTTTCGAAGGGCAGTTCAACTGGCCTGCTGCTCCGGCAACATCGGTCAGACTGTCCTGCCCTCCATGGCCGGTGACGACTGATCCACCAAATGAGGAGGAAGTCCGCAATGAACTCCAACACTTGAAGCGTTACAAATCACCTGGCCCAGATGACTTACCTCCGGCTCTTTTTAAAGATGGTGGTGACTCTTTGACTAAGGAATTGACGACGTTGTTTACAAAGGTTTGGGTGTTAGAGAGTGTACCAACGTCATGGAATGAGTCGATAGTTGTCCCTGTCTTTAAAAAGGGTTCACGTCGTTCCTGTAACAACTATCAGGGGATAAGTTTACTTCCGATTGCGTCCAAGCTATTGGCTTCCGTCATTCTTCGTAGGTTGTTCAAAACCCGAGAAAGATTGACTCGCGAGGAGCAGGCCGGGTTTCGTTCTGGTCGAGGATGTATTGATCATATCTTCACCCTCCACCAAATGTTAGAACACCGCCATACTTATCAAAGGCCAACAATCGTAGTGTTTCTTGACATCAGGGCTGCCTTCGATTCGTTGGATAGGACTGTTCTCTGGGATTGTCTATTGAAGAAGGGTGTGCCTGAGAAGTTTATTAACATCCTAAAGGCCCTATATACAAACACCTCAAGCACAGTGAGGCCATACAACCACCTCTGTCCATTGTTCCATTCGAGCAGTGGGGTTAGACAGGGTTGCTCATTCCCACCATTCCTCTTCAACTTTGCCATCGATGACATTCTGGAAACAGCTCTAATGGATGTAAGTAATGGCGGTATGGATCTGTTGCTTGGAGAAAGACTTCTCGACCTTGAGTATGCGGATGATATTGTCTTACTGTGCGATATTGCCCAAGGCATACAATCCGCACTAAATCAAATGCCAATTAATGTCCGTACGTACGGCATGTGCTTTGCACCTTTGAAGTGCAAAGTAATTCTACAAGACTGGCATGATTCTAATCCTGTACTCACCCTGGATGGTGAGCAGATAGACGTAGTTGAGAAGTTCGTGTATCTGGGTAGCTGCATAAGTGCTGGTGGGGGTGTGAGTGATGAGATCAATGCACGTATAGTGAAAGCCAGAGCGGCTTATGCCAATCTGGGCCACCTTTGGCGCCTTCGTGATGTTAGTCTGGCTGTAAAAGGCCGGATCTACAACGCGTCGGTGAGAGCAGTTTTGCTCTATGCTTGTGAAACGTGGCCTCTCCGAGTTGAGGACGTTAGACGACTCTCTGTGTTCGATCATCGCTGTCTCCGAAGGATTGCTGACATGCAGTGGCAACACCATGTCAGTAATGCAGAGGTTCGGCATCGTGTGTTCGGGCACAGAGATGATAATTCAATTGGTGTCACCATCTTGAAACACCGACTTCGGTGGCTTGGACATGTTCTCCGAATGTCGTCCCAGAGGATTCCACGTCGTGCATTATTTGCCGACTCTGGGACTGGTTGGAAGAAGCGGAGAGGTGGTCAGTGCATGACATGGTGTCGTGGTATGAAAGAAAGCTGCAAAGGACTGGCTTCTGTTGGTCCTTCACGACTCCCTGGTTGGGGTCTGAGAGATGGTGCTACACAGTGGCTAGAGACGTTATCAGATATGGCTCAGAATAGAAACCAGTGGCGATCCTGCTGTAACCTTCTTTTACTTTCTTCATAAAAAGTGGTTGTGTCTCCTTTACCTGAAAGATTTCTTCTGATTGTACCTTTTCGTTCCGTCGTTACTACCTCACTACCTTACTCCAATCTCTTCGTCATTGTTCTCTTTTTCTTTTGCGCTCCTTAGTTTTTTTTCTACTTCTCTTCGAATTCTCATTGTTTTGTGTGGCGCATATATATTGGCGCTCTCTTGTACCAATATTCATGTGTTCAAATAAATAAATAAATGACTCAAATATAGAAATTTTAGTCATTATATAAAAACACGCCGACATGAATTATTCGTATGTATTCCGGTTATATGTGATATTTTGTATTTTTGCTTTGAACCAAAATACTATGACTACCATAACTAATGGTAAGTTAATTTATATTAAACTTTTATTGTTATACCTTATCTAATTTAGATCAATTAAACAGTACTTTTTCAGGATTAAAGCATCGAAACCGACCAAGAACGCTACAGATTACCACACAAGTCAGGTAAGCTAATCAGTTAGTGTTGGTTGGAATGGCTTTCCTCAAACTTACTTAATGCAGTGATCAACGGTACATGCTGTGGTTGGCAAACAGACTTAGGATATGTAGGTGGTACCGTGTGAATAAGTTCTATCCAGTGCTTACAAAACCTCATCGACGAACCTAAACCTTTGTTTTAACCGAGAACATATTATGCTTAAGCTGAATATTCTTTACTCGATGTAGGTTGCATGATGGTCAAAAATACAGACAAGATTACAACTCAGAAATGAAACGGTAACATAAGAGATCGACCAGTATGAAACTCAACAGTTTTTCAAAATGGAAACCATGAATAGCATCGAAATGATGCCAACCCATACTATTCGGGCATCTCAATATAGGGAAAAAACAATTATTGATTGTTATCTCTCTTTAAATTTATTGCAATATAACCATTCGTAAATAGGGATCATTTCGAAATTGCTTAATTCCATTATTTGTTACTGATGCTCCTGAAATTCTAATGAAAAATCATGACATGTGGCGTTCAGAAATACTGTGGCGAAACAACTGTTTACCGATTCCTGGTTTTCAATAGTGGTGTAACTGTGACCAATTCGTGATTTAAACTATGAACATTTCACCATCTACACAAACATCCCTAAACTAAATATTGGACAAAAAAAGACTATGTACCAAACAACTAACCTCTACAGCTGTACGATCAATTCCTTTGGGATACATCCCTTTGTATTCTTTCAGTTTTTCATATGGTATCAACTGAAAGGAAAAAATATATAGTAAGGAATTCTATCTCAAGTAAGCAACCAAAACCATCAAATCAAAATTCTACACATTGCACAAGTCAGTGGCTATATGAACTCAGTAGATAAACGGATAACGCATTGAGTGTTTGAGGATAGTGGTACTGGGTTCGAGTCCAGGAGTGAACATCATTACGGGTGCAGGCGCATCTAGACAACGAGTCCCAAGTGGAATGAATCACACGTCCTGCGCTACTCTCCTAGCCACCATCCCAATCTACTTAAAATGGTTGAAATAAATTTGACGATAAAACACACCAACTGTAATAACCACGATATACTTACTTGAGGTAAAGATGATTTCTTATGAGATATAGCAGTTGGTGATGATGATGAAAACTGAATAGTGGGATGACTTGGACTAGATCCAATCAGACGACGATCAGCATCGAAATCTTTACCATTGATTGAATCTATCAGATTATGTTGTTGTAGATATTGTGATGAATGACCATTTAGAATCGAAGTAGTAGTACCACTATGTTTAACTCCATGAAGTATACTAGTAGTATATATTGATGCATTGCGATGATCGGATGTTGGTGAATAAATTCGTACTGAATCACTGGTATTTGATTGAGTATTATCAGGTTTGCTTAGTTGCAGGTTGCCGTTTGAAAATTTCGCTGTGATGGAAACAATAGCAATAATCATAAATAAAGAAATTTAATTTATTTTATAAGTTGTATCCATCACAGACTGATCTCGGTTGGGGTAACATTCACTGGGCATATGTTTCATCTTAGTACATGACTGGACCTCTCAGATAATCGAAAACCCAAGACTTCCAGGTCTTGCTACCAATGTACAACAATTGAAAACACTGGGTTAGCGTTTATTTCCAAGCTCTACCATCGTTATGTGGCGGAAATGGTTATTGTTCATGGGATTTATCGTTGACAAAAATCAAGATATATTTCATTACTTTATTAATGATAATTTCAGTTCCAAACGTTATTTTTTATCATTTGCTTAAAAGTTTTATGCGAAATTATTTCAAATTAATGTTTTGTTTTTGTCATAGATTAGGAAACTGTTGAAAATTAAGGTAATGAACAAATCCATTTTTATCCTGGAATGAGACTACTTCAAGGGCTTTGTACATCAGATCAGGCAAATGAACTCTAGATTTGATTATACTCAGTTGTGTTTGTATTTAAACTACTAATGGAGTTAGAATCCAATGATCGAAACCATTCAAGCTGTAATAATAGTAATAATAAATCGTTAACAAAGACAAAACAACAATAATAATTATTATTTCACAATTTATATCACGAAGTGACCTTATCTAGACAACTGTTGAAAATCGGAAGAGATTTAACAGTTAGTTCCTCCCAGCATAGGAATCCTTAAAAACAATGTACATTCACATCCCCATCGAGGACCGAATTCACAATGTTCAGGTCGTGAAGTGAGCGATTAACCATTTAGACCATTGACTGAACACTCAATCGGTTAAATATCTTAAGTGCTAGGATGAAACAGTGATTCGTAGCCTGTAATAGTTGTGTAATTAATTTCAGTTCATTATGTATACTATGAAAATCCAACAACCACCAAAAATCCACTGTCGATAATAGTTACTATACAATACCATAATTGAAACGAACAAACAAATGAAATAAACTAGGTATAATTTGCTTTTTTGTTCAAACTTACTCCCATTCACATCCAATTGATGTGAAAGATGAGAATGACCATCCAGTGTAACACCTTTAGATTTATTTAACAATATTCGATTGGTCGATTGTTGTCTAATACCCCCATTTCCAACTGACAGTGATGAAATTGGATAATTCATTGATAATGTTTTACTCTTTAATTGATCGTTGCAAGATAATTGACCACCAGTATAGCCAGGTTTAATTGAACTACCTAATTATACAATAATAATAATAACATCAATAGAGAAAACAGAATTAAACAATACTTCACAGTAATGCTGAGTAGTTATATTATCATATTAGTTTAGAAGAGACCAGTTCGTCTATTGTTTTTTTAGTACGTGTCAGTTTATATTTAATGGATAACCTCTTTTTGGTTTCCTACCTTTATTATATGTCTCAAGGTCACTAAATATTACGGTGATAAGAGAGTTGTTACTATTCAAACTTAACTTCTGTACGGAATGTGAAGTTATCCTGAAAGTCTCATCTTCTCTATTAACGAATGGATTATTAAGATTAAAGTGTTCATACGTGACAGACGTCTAATTTAGTCGAGTCCCAATTCATTGAGTTGCACTAAAAGAATCCTCAACCATTCGTATGTAGAATTTACCGTCGGTCAACCGCAAACACAAAACGTTAATCGTTCTCGTTACTATACAATACAAAGTTTTGATATTAAATGATTGAGGGTAGTCAATCAACACTAAGAATTGGACAAATATGATATTGGCTGCCACTCAATAATCAGTCCTATAACAGGAAAGTCACTACCTGAATAGCTTAGAAGTAATTTCTCAGACTGTGAAGCTGTATGATTCGGATCTCACGGAGAGTATCAGTTCCCTCAAGATTACAAGTGCACGTTACTCAGATGAAATTATTGGTTGCTGAATAGAATCTTAGTGGCAGTGTATACGGCTATCGTAATCAGCATTTGCCGATACTGGGTGGCACGGCCTATATTTAATTTTTTTACTACCATCGATACTACTATTACTTCTTCTACTCTGGTAATTATGACCAAAACACGAATATGCTAGGTTCTAAGTTGCTTATGACTACATGAATGTATACGTTGTCATTATTAATGTTGCTTGTCAATCATTATGTTTACAATCAGAAATAATTACCGGCGATAAATTATTATTATTATTATTAATGGCTTTATTCAATATTGTATTTTGGTACAGCACAGGCCACAACATAAGTTTAAATAAATACTAGGAGGTGACATAAACAATGTAAACACATACACACAAAATTGTAGATTTTTACGAGCTGAGACAAATTACAATAAATCGAATTGTTGTGTTTTGTTAGACTGTGTCGGATAATTTGGTTATTGGTTAAACATTTTATTTTGATAACTCAGTGATAGCGTTAGTAACAATAGGTAACTTATTACAAATACTGAGGAAACTTATTAAAAATTGTGTATTAAGATATGAGATAAACTATTCGAATGAATTGGAATAAGTGGATTTGTGGAGATCAATTTTATTTGCAATTTTGATTTCACATAGATTGACCGTTTTCTAAGTTTGGATACTGACGAAAACCAGTCGGAGTCGGACAGCTGGTCGTTCTAATACAAGACTCTTCAATAGTGTGCACCTGACATTGGGTGGTCAATTGTTTTGTATTGTGGCATAATTGAAATTGGAAATGTGTACACTTGGATGTCAAATCAATGATCTAATGATTAAGCGCTCAATGATAAGTCTGAAAGTCCTAAGTTTCAATCATTGATAGTATCGGATGTGTACATTACTAGTGGGGATTCGAATACTAGGACGAAACAACTGCACTCTGTTGTTTGAATAAACGTTTGCTTTGTCTGACTAGACCATTAAAAATAATTTTGTTATGATCTGAAGAAAGTTTTGAGAAAATTTCGATAGAAGTTAGAAACATGAAACCAAATGATTTCTTTCAGATAGTGAGTGTTATTGTTAAATAAAATGTTTACTTTTTTGAAAATAGTAAACTCGAAGGAATAACTATAGTCACATTTTTCAAACATAACCGCTGATTGGGTTCAGTCAAGTAAAGCAGTGAACTACGATAGAAAGAATGAAACTTTTAGATGTGTTGTGCTCTCTGGGCTAATTATTCTTACTGCGAAGCCTTTTTAATCGTTTTAAGCAAATTTATCTGCGCTTCCTATTTAATTAATTCACACAAATCCTAGTACAACTGAGCAGGAAAAGAAATAGTGTGTTTCACAAAAGTCAAAAGTCGTGTGTCAGCTCGGAAACCTAAACAGAAGCAGTTTTTCTACGCGGCCACTTCTCGAACTTTGGATCAAAACGTTTGACCCATAAGGTAGAGGAAATACTTACTCATGGTAGCCGGCGGTCAAAAATAGGTTCATATGCTATTCACTACCTCAGGATTACGAGGCTCATGTGTACCATAAGGAATAGGAGTTTTCCAACTTTCATAGAGAGGCTCAGTATCAAACTACCTATTTTGAGTGAGACACGTTGAATTTTCGCTCTATCACTTTCGTAGAGAATACCTCTGCTGCATAAGGGCAGTAAGTAGGAGTCTTCCCTAACAAAGGCTATAAACACATGACCGTGTGAAAGCATTACGACAGGGAGAGCAAACTTCTCTCGCCCTCGGACGCACCATAACATTTTTGGAGATAGAACAATGTTTACCTTACTTAGATCATACTTTCAATGAGGATTAAATCTGGTAACAATACAATATTGTGGTATTTAGTAAGTAAACGTTTTCAGTCCATGTTACAGAATTGCAACAGCATTAAAAGGCACATCATTTAAAGAAGGTAATGATCTCTGGTATTTTGTGTGCGGTCATCAGTATGGAGTAATTACACATACTTTTAACCTACATCACCAACCGACCTAAGTATGATAACTGTTGAAAACCAGGAAGCATTGGACACCTATTTCATACTAGTATGGGATACACCGATGGCAGTATGTAGATGAACGACCTCTTATCGGAGATCAAACCCATAATTTTCAAGACTCGTAACGGCGAGTAGCGAACGTTTGGACTAGTAAATTGGTTTCAAATGGTTTACATGTTTACTTTCAACTAATTCGTGATATTCCCCAACCACTTTTCAATGTTACAAACTCCTTAAACCAGTAACATCCATGTTTGACAAACTCGATAATGCACATTTACCACGATAGTAATAATGCATTGAAAGTGAGAATAGAAATGTAAGCGACTCCAAAAAGAAAATAACTCTGTTCGTTTGCCATTTAATTATTACGTAAACTATACAAGTTAAGAGAGGAAAACAGAGTTTATTCCTGTGGATTCGTCTCGATTATTGATCTGCTTGTTATAAAGACAAAAGTATTCGTTACCAAGGCAACTACTATTGTGGTGTTCTTCACCTAAGTTCTTCGTTCACTGAATGATTATTACTATAAGTTAAGTAACTCGGTTATAGACAATATTGTGACAGATATATATATATATATATATATATATATATATATATATATATATATATATATAACAATTTGTTATTAGATATTTAAAATTAATAAACATATAAGAAGTTATTGAATGAAACATGGCTTATTTTAGGATTAATTTCAATACATTGACGGCATTACTGTTCCTAATTCCGTGTGATAGTGATAGCTTGTAAGTATATTCAATAAGGATTAAGTAAAACTGGACTGTGGGTAATAGTCGAGTGTAGAACATGGGATGGGATACGTGTCTGTAAATTTGTAGTGTGTCTGCTTTTCAATTATCAATATTGACAAGTCTTCTAATTGAACACCCCATGCGACTTCCTAGCCGTTTCGAATTTGCCCGACAATCCGAACACAAGAGGAAAGGCGCGAAGTGCAAAAAGAACGCCTAACTCCAAGCTTAATTAAAGTACAGAAAAACGAGGGTACTCATAGTGTTACAAATTGCCACAGTTGAACTTTACTAAAATAGATGAAATAATTGATTCAACAATTCTTGAAGATAAACACTATAGTGTTATAAAGATGTTTCCAAGTGAAAATTCTTCAGTTTATCAAAAATATTTTTCTTAAAACATAAAATACAGGTGACGGAATTTTTTTTCAACAAATTATTTGTACTGACTCTACATTAATTAATGCGCTGCTTTGCTTTAATATCATTTTCGTCATAAACGGTCATCACTTAGATGATTATTTAGGAACGAGAGAGAACTGAATAGTTATTTCAACCTCGCCTTCACATTTTTTCGTAGCAGGAATGAGATACAAAAGCACTAAAAAATCCGTTACTGGAGAGCCTATAAGACTTGCAATTCACATTTCCAACGTCAATCAATTCACAACATTGTGAGACAATCATCCATCCGATCATATACAACATAATTGAACTTTACTGGTCACAGGGTTTACACCAGAACTTTGGGATTTACCTCTTGAAATTAGTAATTATTACGTACATGATTTGAATTGACTGAAATTACGGATATAAACTACTGGATACTAACTCAGCGGTCTGAAAAACCCTGGATTCGACACCCTAAAATGATCATGAATTAGCACTATCGAAGAGTCCTATACTGAGACGAAATAGCTACATCATCAATTACCACAACTCCTACGCTAATGAACCAATCAGATTTAAGATAGCGAATCTAGGGATTTTGGCGCGAAATCCATTCATCCGTATGATTAAGTAGTATTTCGGCATTGTAGATTATGTCAATTCGTGATGAAAACCCCAAATCGAATTTTCAATTCTAAGTTCTAACTCTAAATCTTAGACCCCACTCCGCACACTAATTTATAATCTTACTAAGTGGTTAAAGTTTTTCAAGGTCGTTTTGGTGTCTCCCAAAGGTCGTCTATAAATTAGTCTCGCCAATTATGATATAAACTAGTTAAAAGAGATAAAACAAACAAGACTATAGAGGGTGGAAAAAACTTGTGACAAACAAATAACCACCGAAATTTAAAAATACACATCAACAAATAGGTAAAATATAATTTTAATCGTTGAATTTCAGAGAGAGAAAAAAACAAAGGATAAAGTGAGGTAAAAAAGAATAAAATATTAAATCTGTAAAGGAATTTCAGACAAAATAATAATAAAAATAACAACGACCATTATCTTTATGATGAAATGGTTACAAAACTAATCGCAAGCAGTAGAAAACAGACAAAGAATAGACAATCTAGATTACTTCATTCATTTCACTACAAGACACGAAAC